TATATATATATATGCTCTTTTACATAAAAGTAATTAGTTTTTGTAACACATATCATTTGTCACAAAAGATCTTGTAAACTAATGTCAATCACAGCTAGAAATTGAATTCAAAGTCTAAGTAATTATAGATTTTTTTGGCCATTTTAATAGCTTCAATAGAAAAAATGCCTAAATAAAAAAAGTCATTATATAATTTTACAAATGTTTATCTATTAAATGTCCATAGAATAAATCTCATTGTACTCTATTATAATTTGATTTTTAAGCAAATGGGGAAAAAGTCAATCACTTTGTATATTTGTCTCTAAAACAATAATTATAAAAGAGTCAGATGATGATACCTGCCGGTGATGAACTGACTCCTGGACGGGGTACAGATGGGCTGAACGTAATAATTCTCCAGCTTCACTCCATCTGCAGCGAGTTTATCCAGCACCGGCGTCCTGATGTCCGAGCTGTGATACCCGATGTCATTGAAGCCCTGGTCATCTGTCATGATGAAGATTATATGAGGAGGCTGTGGGACGGGAAAACTGTTGTGAAAAGTCCGGTCAGGCTTATTTTCCAGCTGGTTGGGGCTCATCAGATCCCAGGTCAGGTACCCGAGGCTGAGCAGGCTCATCATGGAAAAACCAGTCAGAGCCGTCGTTGCCATTCTTGCAATGACAACGACTCATTAAAACCTGCTAATATTTCATATATTGTCAGCAAATCATTTTGCAAATACAAAATTATTCCCTCATCAAACACTTGGCTCACTTCAGCTGGGGTTAAGCAGTCTAAAACCTACAAGAAATAGCTACACCTTCATCCTCGCAGACGTTCCTAACTCTGCCAGCGCAAATGAATGTGTTTTACTTTCCCTAGTGATCCAATTAACTCCGCCTATTTGCCTCCCTGGCCCACTGAAGTAACATTAGCCCCCTTGACTCCCAAAAGCACACAGAGGTAAAGTAACACCAACTCCAGGTGTTTAAATCCAGCATGAGTGAAAATTACTTCCTAAATTTAAACATAATTCTGACAAATTACCGATATGAAAGGTGATTTCCCATCATCCACCCTCCTCTCCACACACGTTCCTTGAGAGTTATCGGTTTCCTGTAATCTGCTGTCATCTTTACAAATTACATGGAAAAAAAATCTCCTCTGGCGAGGCGTGCTGGGCAGAGCATCTCACTGAAAAAGACCCTCCCTCACAAAATGTGGCCCATGCTGGGAGGAGATTTCGAGTCTCAGAGCAGCTGTGGGGCCCTGAAGTTACAATCACAGACTCTGTTCCCCTCATCGCTCTGCAGCAGAGGCAAACACTCTCCTTCTATGCTGTTTTAGGCTGTTTTATGAGAGCTGCAGACCTGAGGAGAGAGACTGCACAGACTTCCCCGAGTTTGATAACATCTCCAAGAAAGAGTCAATGAAGGGCTTTACAAGTCACCCCGAGGGGTCGACTGAAAGCAGCAGGACGGAACAGCTTCAGCTCATGGGTGAAACACCACAGCGGCTGGTCTGTGCTGTCCAGCATCCAGATTCAGATCAGTCGGAGACCAGGTTGAAGGAAACACAAAGCTGCAGCAATGAAGCAAATGTAATTTTGAGCATTACCAGAATGTGGTGAGCTGAATGCACCGAAATGTTTACAAAACCGCAAAATGGGAGGGAAATGTTCGACACTCAATCACTTCGATTCATCCAAACAGGCTCTTTCTGACAAGGTGTGCCCCCAAAATTACAAACGTTACACACGGTTTCTAAACTCCTCCATGTCTCAATAAAACACCAGGCAGATTTTTACAGGAACTTGACACAGTTTTGATGCACAAATCAGTGCAAATATCTTCTATTTTAATAGAAACAGTGTTACTGAGGTGAAACATGTTCTGCAGACAATAATAATTAATTTGTTGAAGACYGGGGCTAATATAACATCACCCCTCGAAATGTTGATATTTTGGAAACCTGTAGCAAAAAAGAGGCATGAGCTTATTCCCCAATGAGCAACGAAGCTGTGGCCGCTCATGTTTGCCCAGCAGCTGCAGCGGCGTCTTTGAAGTGGAGCTTCTGAGTTTAATACAAGTCAAAACTAGAAAGAGACGATTGAGATGCACTTTGAGTTTTGCACTGTTATATTTATTTTTGTACATTTTCTAAAGTGAGCGGCTTGGACATCTGAAAGCCTTTGCGAAATTCCTAGAAAAAGAGTTTTAAAAAAAACTGTGGATAATGTGCAGTTAAGTGAAGTAGATACCAGTTCATAAAAGCTCCCTAAAATGGTTTAGGTCATGTCAGAAGCTACAAACAAAGCAGGGTAGAATTAGTAAAACTATGATTTGGGTGGCTTTCAGTTACGAAAAGAGGCACTCAGTTTACAAGATGCRAATCAAATGTTTTCTGCTCAACGAGTTGCGCAACAGCAGACACTCACACAGATTTTAGCATAAGCTTTTTATTTATTGTCACGTTGCTAAAATATTCAAACATGTTGTAATGTCTGTATTTATTAAAAGACTGGCCTCACAACAACCCAGAAACCTGAATGTCAATCACCTGTAAAAGACAAATATACGTTCTGTTTGGTTTCGCAAGTTATTTTTTTAGAAGTATTTGTTTGGTTTGCAGCTAAAACTGAAAATATGTGAACTGGTTGACATCCCTATAAACCTCAGGGGTTTAATTTCAGTAACAACAGGATAATATTAAACTGTGTGGTCATGTGTGAGGAAAAGGTCAGAGGAAACCAATAAGTAACAAGACATCATAAATCCAACAAAACACTACACTTTTAACAATGTGTATTGCGTCAAGATTTAGCTTTTTTAAACTTTGTGTTGATCGTTCATCTTTTTTTCACCCAAAATTGGTTTCAAAAACACAAATCAATAAAGTTTAATTTTACGTTCTCTCTAAAGACTTGGTAGCTAAAAAAAAAGGAAGCCGAAGTCCATTGTTGGCAGACACATTCTCAACACTTTTTAATGGGTCCAGTTACCTTTAAACAGCCTCAGAGCCTGAAGGGAAATGCAATAATCACTTGAAGGTGAGCTGAAATTGGAGGACGGGTTGGTGGTGGTGGGT